TCCTTTAGATTATAGCAATATCGAGAACTAGACTTGTTTCCATGTATCAGAATGATAAGAGAAATACAACTGTATGTTGGGTGGCTTTAGGCACTTTCTGTATATATGAGTGTGGCATATATATGTATGAGAGACAATACCTGCTAATCCATCAATTCATCGATGAGAGTTATGAAACTGCCCATATCCTTTGACCCAGCAATACCACTACTAGGTCTATTTCCAAAGATGACTGGCGGAAAAGGAAAAGAACCTTTATCTTTTAAAATATTTGTAGCCACTGTCTTTTTGGTGGCAAAGAACTGGAAATCAGGGGATGCCCATCAATTGGGGAATGGCCAAACAAGTTGTGATATATGATTGTGATGGAATACTATTGTGCTTTAAGAAATGAGAAAAACATGGAAAGGCTTGCATGAAATAATGAAGAGCGAAGGGAGCAGAATCAAGAGAATGTTGTACATGCTAACAGCAATATTGTCTTAAGAACAGCTTTGAATGACTAAGTCATTTTGAGTATTATAAGTACCCAAATGAAATAAACAGTGCCTGTGAAGGAAGGAGCTACCTGCATGCAGAGAAAGAACTGATAAGTAGAAGTATGTATAAAATGATTTTACACACACACACACACACACACACACACACACACACATGCACACACTTGCGTCTAATGGTATCCATCTCTAGGACTGGGGGAGGGGAAGAACAAAAGAGAAAAAAAAAGTTCCTTGATAACTTTATTATATATTTACTTGGAATAGCAAGTTGTACATAATAGATTTGCAGTTTCATGTGCAATCATCTGTTTTTTTTAAATCCAATTATGGTATGTAAATGCTTGTTTTATTTCACAAGTTCAAAATAAAATACACAAAAATTACAAACAAAAAAAAAAAAAAAAGGAAAGCTACAACTGGCTCCTGTCAGCAGCAGGCTGGGCATCAGTGACTAAGCCAGATGCTAGGCCACAGCTTGGTTGGTATTGGCTGGTTCAGCTTGTCAAGAACCCAGTTCACTAGGAACACTCTGAGTGAGGACAAAGAGAGGAGAAGATGGGAGAAGGAGGTCAGAGGGAAAATAAATGGGACAAGAACCCTGTCTTTGGTCTTCCTTTCTGGTGATTCCCTGCACTCGCCTGGAGTCCTTATTTCCCAAAGATATTCAGTAACTGACCCTCTCCTCTTGTTAGGGGCGTGCTTAACAACAGCTAGCTGGTAGTTCATGTTCAAGGTTGGGATGAAATGAGGCCCTCACAAACCCTTGAACACTTAAAGAAAGGTTGACTTTGTCCCAACACAGCAAGGATGTGCACCAAGGACACAGTGACACTTTTCTGGATAGGGCTTCTCTCATGTCCAGGTGGAAACTTGTCTGCTCAGCAGGGCGGGGCAGGGTGACTCCAAAGAAGCCACCATGTTGGAGGAGCCACAACTCCCTGAGGGTGGGACTTTAGGAGCCCTTAGGTCACCAGGAAGCTACCTCAAGGGAGACAAGGGCCAATCAAATCCTAGGGACTGCTTTGTTGCCTTTTAGGGGAAACTAATCCTTGTTTTGGGGAAACCAGAAACCCTTGGTCCTATCACACACCACCCCCAAAGACCCTCAGATCTTCTAGAAGGCCTTCCATCATTTCCTAATTTTCAGGATTTGATTGGACAATTGTCCTGACCCAGGGAATACAAGAAGTGAAGAAGAACTACTTTGCCTCAATAGAGAGTCACCAAAAGAAAAAAGAAAAAATATGAGGAGGATGAAAAAAGCTAGAAATTCTAGACTTTCTCTTTTTCCTTTGGATGAAGTGAGCCTCAGATCTTAATGATCTAGATCTGGGGTCAAATACTGCTAGAACCACATTAAAATGGAATTGGGAAATATTTTACAAAATAAAGATGCAATAAAACATAAATAATGTTAATATGTGGTTTTTCTAAGCCAATATGCGGCCCAGGGATCCTTACCTGCAGAGCCTGGCAGGTAGCAAGTGCTTGTTAATTAATTGAGTGACTGGTTGCAGCGTAACTAGTCAAGGAACTGACTGTGAATATGATAAACAGGAAATGTTGCAAGGCTCCCCCAGAAGAGATTAGATGACACTTGGTGCACACTTCCTGATGAGGGAGGGGGAATGGGAGTTAGGAGCCAGCTATCAGACTCTGGGCCTAGAGGCAAAGAGGAGAGAAGTGAGAAGGGCAGTTCAAAGAGAATGAAGATCTTCAGGTAAGAACAGTTTGACGAGGAAGAAAACACTCCTGGAAGACAAAGAGATGCTGAGTCTACTCCCCTAGACTTTTTCTCTTCTGTGAATTGTCCTTACTGTGATTCCATCTGACTGTGGTGAAGGCTTCACTGCTGAGCTCCAGAGGACCAGCTCATGGCATGTGGTCCCAATGACTTATTGGCAGTAGCCTGTCTTTCAAGACTTATTCCCCAACAGTGCCCCTCAAGCCCCTCCCCCAGCCCTTGGATGGTGGCAGTGACTGAAGACTGCTGGCAGCCACCCTGCTTCTTCCTGCTTATCTTCCCCAGGCCCTCAATCCATGGACAAAGTCCCCCAGCCTCCAAGCACCACTAGACTAGGGAACTTTCCCCATTTGCTCTCAGACCTGTCCATCCCGTCACAAGAGTCTTGGGAAGCAGTCAGTATGATGAGTTGTTGAGGTTTAGATTTGGGAGAGCTGGTTTAGGTGTGAAAAAAGCCAGAAACCCTTGGTCCTATCCTGAAAAACGCCATTGGTGATGAGTTCATGGTGGACCCCAAGAATTTTGCGGTGCTACCTGAAATGATGAGGAACAGACATGCAGGTCCTAGCATCCTTAAAGACTTTACTTAGACAGTCTTCAAGTTAAAAAAGGCATTTACTGGGGTGATGTACCCAAGCAGGCCAGCTCCTCATGAAGTAAAGCCCCAGTAGACTCTACTCCACATGGGAAGCAGACCATGGGCCTCAGGCCAGGCCCCCGCTTCCTGCGGGAGGCAGAGGCGGCCAGCCAGGTCAAAGGGATGGTTTAAATACAATTTTATGGCATAGAGGGAAGAGGACAAGAGAACGGGAGGAGCACACATGGCTCCAAAGTGCCTAAAATGTCAGGTAGTCTGGAGTTGATAAGCAAAGGGTACAGGAAAGGGGAGTGGAAGAGTTGGTCTGGAATGGAGGGTGTTTTGTGAAAGCACACAGATATGCTTGGGGCTTCAGCGCATCATTTTCTTTGATCACTTTTCAAACTGGTCACATCCTGCATCTTATCTCCTGTCTCAGGTTCTGCTTGCTCCATCTGCCCCAAGCACTCTTTTCTACTTGTGAAAAGAGATTTGTGAAATTTTCTGTTTCCACAGAAGTTAATGTAAAAACAGGATGCCTGTGGATTAGTATATCCTGATCAGCAGGTACTCTTTAACTACAAGTATTTTTTTTTCCAATAGTTAACAAAAGAGAGATTTGTTTAGCTCTAGCTGGAGGATATTCCACAAGGATGGGCACTGAGGACATGAGCTGATTCAGCTGAACAAAGTTCCTTGGTCTGAGTTACCCATTGTGATCTGCCAGCCAAGCATCAAATAGCCCCTGAAGGCCCTCAAAGTCCAGTAGTATATCCACTGTACCAAACAAACCAAAGAAACAAGAACTTAATGAAATTCTACTTTTAATTAACAACTATACTTTAAAATATAAACTTTGCAAAGGGCCACTTCTTATCAAGTCATTTCCCTTACCCTGAAAGGTAGAACCTTTTCCAGCCTTTTCTTAGCTAAAAACAGATCTTTCCAATGAGATCTTGCTCCCCTAGCCCTGACCTTTGCCATGAAGAACCAATAGCAGAGTTTAAGAACTGGTAACCAAAAGGTCATCGGTTTAAAATTGAAAGTTTTTGTTGTTTTGCCTATACCAGCTAGAGCCCCTGAGATGTGAACATGGGAAGCAAAATATGCAGAGGAATCTAATGGCAGGAGGAAATGGGGGGGGGGTTATAACTGATTTTTTCTTGGCTTGACTTAAGTGAGCTGGAATCTTTGGGAAGGAGTAGGCACCTCTCCTGTTGGCTGGAAGAAAGATGGCAAAGAATATACCTGGTCTGGACAGGAATTGGGCTCCCAAGCAGAAGTGATATCAAAGCAGGTGAGACAGTACCACGGAGAAACTTCAGAAGAGGGTTGTAGAGAGTACTGATTGTGGGACAAATGAAATAAGCTCTTATATAGCACCTACTATGTGCCCATCACTGTGCTAAATGCTTTGCAAAGATCTTATTAGATCCTCACAACAAGCTTGTAACTACAAGTATTGACAAATAACTTAAGAGCTGTTCTTGCATCCGTGCACGCTCAATCAGCTTATCCAACACAAGTTAGGGTATAACAGTTTGCTGTTGCTTCTGTATTGGTATGTGTGCTCTTTGGAAGCAGCACGCCTGCTTCTTGCAAGAAATGAAATAAATGCCTTCCTCCGTTCACTCGTTTCTCTCATACTGATGCTTCTCAGAAAGATCCTCTTTCCCCACCCCATTGGAAGATGCACCTTACCCAGGACAAGATTATTCCTCCTCAGACATAGTTTCCCTACGCTCTTACCCCCACCTCCCCTCCCAGTGATCCCAACATTCCCAAGTACATCAAAAGTGAAATGGCATGGGAGTCTCTTCCCCTAGAAACTAATGCTCACTCGGGACCCACCCACGCCAGGGCTGGGGGGTTGGAAGACCAGCAGAAACAGGGGGGAGTGGTGAAACGGCTGGGACCTTCTTTTTCCCTGGCCCCAGCTGGGAGCACAAGAGCCGTGCGTTCCTGGAGTGTTGATGGGAGGCAGGGAGACTCGGGCTCTCCATAAAATTAGAGGCTGTTCTGGGAATAACACAGAAAGAGAAAAGGTCTATAAAGCTGTGGATTTCCTCCGAGTCAGTTTCAGTTTGGGTCTCCCAACCTGTGCCGGCTCATTCTGCCCAGTCACCAATGACGTTTGTTGTCTTACGTTTTCTATTGGCTAGCAGAGCCTCTGTGACGTCAACCAGAAGTTAGGGATTCGTCCTCAAACAGAGTGCGGCTCTGCCTGTGGACCATGAACCATTATGTGCGCTCTTTCTTTTTGTTAGGGACCCTAGCCTTGCCAGAGACCCGGGCCGGTAAGTAGAGAATAGTATTAAACAGCCCGCATGGAGACTGGACAAAGCATCAGGGGTGGATGTGTGGGTGGGATGGGGTTTGGCTATAGAAAGCTCCTCTGGCACCAGTCCAGGGTGGGTTTCCAGGGAACCAGCTCCTTCATCTCAGATGAAGTCAGGGTGGTGCTGAAAGGAAGAAGCCATGAATAAGCATGTAGTTTGACATCCTTTAGCTGGGCTTTGGCAGGAGGCGGGGTGGACGGGGGGTCTTGGTGTCAGTCACCTTGGGGTTTTTTGGGGGGGGAGTGAGTGGATTGGTAGGGTGGATGTGAGAACATGGGGTGTTGAGGCAGAGGTGCCAGGAGGGAGAATGTTAGCTACAGTCCTGGGGGCATCAAGAAGGAGCAGAGCTGTCTGGAAGCCCCCTGGCATCCAAGGGAGAGGACGGAGAAACAACAGCAGCCTTGTTAAAGAGCTTCACAGAGGGGGCTGGTGGGATGAGGCTGGGCCAGGCGAGGACAGGAGGTGGGGGCTGAGAGTGAGAATTGAGAGACCCGGGCCAGAGGTGGGGGGGGTGGCAAGGCCCAGGTGAGGGGGCACCCTAGGACCTGCCTGGGTTGTTAGTGAAAGCTTTTGGCTGATCTCAAAGCACTGTAGTCATGAGTATTTCTACTGCCGGCCAGGTGTACCAGCAGCGTTATCCCAGGGCTGGGATACTGGGGGTGGGGAGGCATCTCTGGGTGGCTGAGTTCGCAGCTCGGGTGGCACCCCAGGCTTGGCCGAAGACACTGGGCCGCCAGGGTCGGGTGCACGCGGTCACTGCCGTAATTCCAGGCCTCGTCCCCACGTCTCAGGCTCTCACTCCCTGAAGTATTTCTCCGCCGCCGTGTCCCGGCCCGAGGTGGCGGAGCCACGGTTCTTCTCCGTGGGCTACGTGGACGATCGGCAGTTTGCGCGCTTCGACAGCGAGAGCCAGAGGGAGGAACCGCGGGCGCCATGGATGGACCAGATACATCAGGTGGACCCGGACTACTGGGAGCGGAACACGAGATTCCACAAAGCGGCGGCCCAGACTTTCCTAGTTCGACTGCAGACCCTGAGCAGCTACAAGAACCAGAGCGACGGTGGTGCGTGACGGGGGACGAGTGGGGGGAGGAGAGTTCGGGTCATGCCAGTCCCACTGTGACCGGGGACTCGCATTAGGGACACGGGGGTCGAGGGGCTACCGAGGGCCATCCTAGGTTGGGGGCAGGTCACAGAATCAGCACACGGTGGGGAAAGTGTGGCCGGGCTGACCAGTGGCCGGGGGCGGGGCAGGGGTCCACACCTTCCAGCACCTTTGCGGCTGTGAGGTCTCACCCGAGCTCACCTTTAAGCGCGGGTTTTACCAATTCGCTTACGACGGCCACGACTTCCTCGCCCTGGACACGGAGACCTACACGTGGACGGCGTCGGTGCCCCAGGCTCTGAACTTCAAGCTTGAGTTGGAAGCCGACAGCAGCATCGCAGAAGAACGGAAAGCCTATCTAGAGGAAACGTGTGTGCAGTGGGTGCAAAAGTACCTGGAAATCGGGAAAGAGTCTTTGCAGAGGACAGGTACAGCTTGCCCCCCACCCCGAGTGTTCCTGGCACTCAAGGCTCCCCTTCCTACCTCCCCTGCAGCCTCAGCCCCGGGCTCCAGAATCCCCAGGGACCCTTGTACCTCAGGGCCTGCATTCAGGGTTGTTCCCCCTCTCCCCATCGTTCCTCATTCCCCTGGAGGGGAGGGGGGAAAGGGAGAGCCTGGAAATACCGCTGACCTTTGCCTCCAGACCCGCCCTCTGTCCAAGTGACCCGCTACACAGACCCCGATGGGGAGGTGACCCTGCGGTGCCGGGCCCAGGACTTCTACCCCGCGGACATCTCCCTGACTTGGCTGAGGGATGGGGAGGAACAGCTCCAGGACACAGAGTTCATTGAGACCAGGCCTGCAGGAGACGGGACCTTCCAGAAGTGGGCAGCTGTGGGTGTGACCTCGGGCCAGGAGGGGAAATATACCTGCCGAGTTCAGCACGAGGGACTGTCTGAGCCCCTCACCCTGAAGTGGGGTAAGGACCATGAGGAGGGGCTGGGAAAGGCCATCCCCCAGACCCCCAAAAGACCGGAGGGAGGTGGACTTACTGGGGGCAGGTGAGAGAGGAGTTAGTGAATCTCAGGCCAGAGAGGGGTCAGGGCCTCCCACTTCCCTTTTCCATTTCAGAGCCAGAGTCCTCCTCCACCATGGTCATTGTGGGGGTCATTGTGGTCCTCATCGTCATCACTGCAGTCATTGCTGGAGTTGTGATCTGGAGGAAGAAGAATTCAGGTGGGCAGGACTGGGAGGGGCTCCTTAGGGAGCAGGCACCATGGAGATCCTGGCTTCCCCTGACCCGCAGCTTGGCTTTCTGTCCCAAGTCCCCTTTCCCATCTAAGGGACTGTCAGATGGGCCCTGAGACTCTAGATGAACAAATCTCAAACTAGAAGCCATTTTCCTGAAGGATGCCAGGCATGGGTATAACAGGCTGGCCTAGGGGGGAATGTGCTTTAGACTCAGATCAGAAATGCATATGAGGATCTCTGCCAGAGGGCCTGGGTGTCCCCCAGCTGGGGGCTGTAGACCAGCCTTGGGAACCCCTGGAGGCAGGCCTGGAGGTGGGGAAGTGCCCATTTGGGGGGCCTCTTCTCTCTTCCTCTTGGATCCAGAGGCTGGACTGGAGTGGGGGATGGGGGTGCAGTCTCAGTTGTAATTTGTTGTGTCTCCAAGACAAGTCAGTGAACTTCTGAGACTTCTCTCCTGGATTCCTCACTGGAAACTTGTTTCTTTTCCAGGTGGAAGTAGCCTGGAGGACCTGCGTGGGGTTCAGGCTGCAGGTAAGTGAAGAGTGGCCATGGAGGGTAGAAGGAAGGCCCAGCCCATGGTATCTCTGGGACCTGAGCAATGGGAAGGCAGAGGAGAGGCTTAGCCCAGTAGCCTTCTCTTGGTGTCCCCTTCCCTCCTCATACCCCCTTTCTGGAATGTATGTCCCTGACTGGGTCATTTCTGTCCTTTGTCTCATGGGCAATGACAGTGCACAGGGGTCAGATGTCTCCCTCACAGCCAAATGTGAGACTCTGGGGGCCTGGAAGGAGAGAGGGGCTGGGGTAGAGGGGCCCAAGCAAGGAGGAGGGTATGTGAGAGGTTGGGCTGAGGACTGGATGGGTGGTGATGCAGGCCCTTCAGAATGATGAGAGGCTGGAGGCCAGAGGGGACTTGGAGGATCTCCCTGAATCTGTCTGTCTTTCTTCAGCTTGAGAGAATTGCCTTGTGTGGGCCTGAGAAAGAAAACAAGTCTCCAGTCCTTGTGCTGTTCCTGTGAACCTCTAGCTTCTCTCCCCAGCACTGGCCCCTGGGATCCTCCCTGGACTCTACTAGCCCAAGCCCAGGGAAGCATCATTAGGTCCTCACTCTGTTCTCTAAGGCTTCCCTCTCCCTCCTTCTTTCTTTCTGCCTGTCTCACTCTGCAGAGACAACCAGCAGTGAGGGCCAGAGGGCTTAGGGAGTGAGCCCTCCTTCACACATGATGTTGCCCTATGGGATCTTTGTCTGACTGCAAAAATAGCCCAATGAATTATTGTTCTTGAGTCCTCAGCTTTTCTCCACAGTCTACATTTGAGTGGGGAACTTTAGGGGACAGGATGACAGTGTGGAGATGTTCTGGCCGTATGAAGGGGAAATAAAAGAAAGTTTGAAGACGTCTGAGAATCCTTTTATGTGCTCTGCTGAGTCTGTGAGTGCAGGTGGGGGCAGGGGCCAAGAGAGGAAGGAGCCCGGGGGAGGGCCGGTGTATCGTAAACGGTGAGGGTGCAGACACTTGTCTCTGCTTTGTATTGCTCGGGTGCATTTGTGGACGTGGTGTATTGGGACTTGTTCCAGGACTTCAGACAGAGCCCAGGCTGCGTACTCCTGCAAGTGGAACGATGCCCAAACAGGGTGTTGGCCCATAGGCAGCCCCTCAGCATGGTCTTTCAGGGAGTTCCAGTTCTCTCTATTTTGTTGCCATTTTCCTCCCCCCTTGTGTGTGTGTCCCTGCTTTCCTTTCATTGCAGGGGCCTCCCTAAGGGCTGCTGTGGCCTCTGCTCTGGGCCTGTCCCAGGGCCCTGGGGCTCCATCTCTGTTGGTGATGGCCACTGCAGGGAGTGACCTCCTGGTCCCCTTTTTAGACTGTCCCAGAGTGGGGGCCCTTCTTCCCCCTGCGTAAGGGAGACTCCCTTTGGAGTTAACAAAGAAGGAAATATCTAATTTCTAGATAGAAAGAAGTCCCTGCCCGCTCTCTACTCCCTGGAGTCACCTAACTGTGCATGTTTACAGTCAGTTGATTGTTCTCTACCTATAACTTCCCTCCTCCCCCACTCTCCTTTGGAGAAACTGCTGGGAACAGTTGCCTTTCCCTCTTTTGTTCTGCCCTGATATTTCTTTCCAAAAAAAGAGCAATGTTTTAATTATATTTCTGTCCCATCTTGTAATCACCATCTCAACTTAGCATCGGACAATTTTTTTTTCCTCATCTGAGGTCATCCAAGTTTTGCTCACTTACGCTGAAATCCCTGGTGTGGAAGTTTCCATTACCATTGTTAATTGATCTAAGGAAGGCAGTCCCAAAGTGGTAGAAGCATCAGAGACTTAGGCCCTACTCTCTCCTAGCTGATAGGCGATGATTAAGACAAAACATTAGCTACAAATATGTCAGGTCAGATCCTGGGTCGTGCTGGGCATTTGTTGTTCATACCACACTCTAAGTGGCTAGGACATAGTTTTTTACAATAGAAGGTTCCAGACCTCTCTGGGCTTCTTCATCTAAGAAGGCTGGGGATTTTGGGATAAGTGGGTGGATCTCTGGGGTGTAAGCCATCTTATCCCATGGCCAGACAGGATTTGGGGACCCTGGGGTTGAGGTAGGGAAAGAGCTTCAAGGGAGTGGTACTGTCTTTCTCTCTGAGCCCAGAAACTACCTCTTGCCTTGGTCATCCAGTGTGGAAGATTGTACATGGTGGACTTATCTTCTCTCTTTTCACAAGACTTCCTGTCTCCATGTGACTTACAAGAAGCAGGACAAAAATACTGCTTTTATATCTCTGATGAATAATTAGTTCACTGAAATGTGAAACAGCTCTCATAGAACCGGAGTTGCTTTTCTGACCTTGATATCCGAACTCTGTGACCCCCAGGGTCCAGCCTTCCAAATACCCCCTCTTAACCATTACAGGTATCCATAAGCAGGGGGGACTGCTCCAGGAGGGCCAGCCTTGGAGGGACTGAGTGACCAACCCTTGTGGGCTTTGTAGAGTGAGGATTCCATGCAGGTGTAGGTTTGATCAGAGGGGTCAAATACACAGCCTGCTGCCTGGCTGCAGTGTGCTGGAATGCTTTGGAACCACATTAAAGTGTCTTTGGGAGATATTTAACAAAGACATGAAAATACAACAAAGCAGATAACATTTCATTTTAAACTAAGTCAGTATATGGCCTGCGGTGATCCTTAAGTACAGATATGTGGCTCCCATTTCTATTTGGGGGCAGCCAGGTGGTTCAGTGGATGTAATGCAGGGACCAGAGTCGGGAAGACTCAAATCTGGCCTCAGACACTTACAAGCTGTGTGATCCTGGGCAATTTACTCAACTCTGTTTGTCTCAGTTTTATCATCTGTAAAATGAGCTGGAGGGGCAGCTACGTAGTACAGTGGATAGAGCACCGGCCCTAGATTCAGGAGGACCTAAGTTCAAATCCGACCTCAGACATATTGCACTTACTGTATGACCCTAGGCAAGTCACTTAACCCCATTGCCTAGTCGAAAAAAAAAATGAGCTGGAGAAGGAAATGGCAAAGTGCTCCAGTAGAAAACCCCAAAAGGGGTCACAGAGTGTTGGACACTCCTGAATAACAACAACAAATTTTTATTAAAGTTTGACATCACTGGTTAGAGTGGCTGCCCTCTGAAGGCCCAAATGACTCTCAGATTCTGTGATGCTCATTTCCCCCTACCCTTATGGTTGGTTCATATCAAGGAGTTCCCTGGCCCTTTGCTACTACCCCTCAACACACAGAACCATGGAAGGATGTTGAGACTGCCCATTGGGAGCAGTTGTTGGGTAACATCCTTCTAGAGTCCCATATGTGTGTGTGCTGGGGTCAGGATCTGACAAACCAAGGCCTTCCCATCCCAAACCTTAGCTCGCCCTGTAAGGACCTTGGCTTTGCCTTCTTTCTTTCCTAGCAGTCTCCCTGTAGTTCATAGGTTCAAAGCAACAGATCTGGCTTCTTATTAGCCTTAGTATCACTGACAATGCAAATGTTATTCTCGTTTTACTGATGAAGAAACTGAGGCACAGAGAGGCTCAGTGAGGTGCTCAGAGCCACACACCCAAGGAAAGCCAGAGTTAGGACCTGACCTCAGGTCTTCCACTCCACCATGGGGCCTCCCAAGCCCTACACTCCAAATGCTAGCAGCAGCCCTGG